TATGTAAAGTTTCAATATCTCGGATGAGAAACCGATCAATTATGAGCGGGTCAACTGTTCGGTGTGAAAATGGGAAACTAATCGTATATGTGCCAACGGCTAGCCGTGAGTGGCCGACCGGTGGGAGGCCGACGAACGACTTCGCGATTAAATTCCCGATTAATCTTAAACTATACACTTGGAATAGCCTTATCAGGCTTCAACGATTTTTGAAAAGGATTTGGCAAATGTATATTCCTCAATACATCGGGGAAGGCATCATTTTGTTGAAAGCAGAGAAAAGAGTCAATTTTTTACTAAAAGAGACAGGCTAATGTGTAAAATTTTCATGCGAGTAATGTGAAAATAGAACAAAATATGAAAAGGTGAATAGCTGGTCGTGAGTGGCCGACCAGAGGGAGGTTGACGAGCGACTAGCCTTTGAGGAATAGGGTTTTCAGTCAATACAGTTAATTCTCGAGAATTACTCACTGACAAATGGCTAATCGGTTCGGTTCCTGAAAAAGAACAATCTCTGTCGTCTATGCACTCTAGTGTGTGACACAGTGCGGTAGTTCAGTTGACGACTAGTAGCAATTGCAGTTCCTAAGTTGTCTTTCAAAGTGTTTGAATGCGGTCAGCACTAGAACAATTCTTCCAGAAAAGGGTAAACGAAATTAAAGGATGAGCGCTACTTGCAAGGCATTGCCATACAACTGATTAAAGTCTGATCACGCCACTATAAAGTGCTAACAGCATGTTACTGAGAACACGGTTAAAATATCTTACCGCGCTAGAAGACGGGAAACAAGAATGGATTACTACAGTAGGTCACTTCCCTCCATCCGCTCATACCAAAAAATAGAGAGCCTAAGGCAGCTGCCATGAAATTCTCGACGACCCATTATTGCATCAAAAGCTTGCAAGAATTCCAAGATGACACCGATTGCATGGAAGACTCCTGGATTACTGAAAAATGATTTCATACTTCTTTATGGCTCGTTCCATCTTCTATGTGCTACACTCTTTTGCGATACAAACAACTTCCGTCCAAAATCGGTAGCACCAGTTCCGCCGTACTGACCTTGGCACTGAACTTTCGTCAATTGCCGGAAGTTGTGTTTTTCTGAAATCTCCGCCGTGAAAAGGGAGGATGTTCGCCAATTGCCGATAGTTCAGTTTCGTAAATGTCA